AGAACTCGATGGATTATTCATGGAAAAAACGGAATTTACACTATCAGGCTTAATTATTTGGGAATATTGGTGGATAAAGGATAAACAGATAGCATGATAAATGGCCAATTGGAAACCCAATTTAACCCAGAATGTAATAGCTTGGTTTTTACACACAAATTTGCGATACTTAGAATATATCACCATACACGCAGACCGCCCTACGGTTGTATGTTCCTAGCGTGCAATGAAGACCCTGGAATGGAGTTGGAAAGACGGACGCAAAGATGGGCAATCGAATGAAGTTGACTTCATAATGCAAGACGTTCATATCAATTGATAAACCAGATAAGACATACCAAAGCTGCTAAGTAGTCCAATCTCACCGCTTGCTCTGGACTTTCGAAGGTACACCTGACCGATCAGACTTTCCCCATCTTTTGACGGTGACCAAAACACCGATCGACTCTTAGAGGTAGAAGATACAAGTACTCATGCAGCTGGGGAGTAATGACCTATCTGCATAGTCATTTTTTATAAAATGTGGAAGATTATCTTTCTTTCATTATTATCATCTTAACTACAAATTAACTCACAGAAGATGGGCGATCAATGTCGATACTGCGTTGGTACATTCTGCTTTCAGTTGTAAAGGATTTTCGATAATCGCCTACAATTTCCAACAGGAATCCTCAAGCAGAAATGCTACTATTTATCGGCTCATGCTTAAACACTGCTGTACTAAGTCCCACGCTGATCACCTAAGACTATGATCATAAACGAAAATTTAAAACCATCAACTGACAGGCAGCCACTACACACTTACCAAAGTCATAATTTGTGAGGACAAACAAGAATGTGCCAAACAAACCCTCAGTGGTTTGTATAGTAAAGTGATCGTGCGGCGCGCACTCAAGAAATGTGCAAATTGGCACTTCAAACAAACAACGACCGGATCTTAAAGGCGAGTTTACCAGTATACCTACTTATACATTAAGCGAACTGTTGCACACCAACTGGAAGAGTTTAAAATAAGATTGACCACACTAAAGTTTGGACTGCAAATTTTAACTGTTACATTTGTGATACGCCATTTTGAAGCACATCTTCGGAATGTCCGAAGTCGATGTGTTTTCCATGGATTATGTCCTAGCATTAACTAGGCTGTACATCCTTGTGGATAACAGCAAACTTTGGTCAGGAAAACTTAAGCATGTCTTCGCAAAGAAAACACTACTTAGAGATGTCCTTTGACTCTTGGAGATGAAATTTCAGCAGATTAACTTGCCACAATACCATAGCATCAGTTTTACTACCTCTTGAATAGGCCTCTGATTGGCAAGGTTCCGATACCGATCCCGGATCTGTCTGCCCTCCACCACCCCGTCGTAAGTATCCGGCATGAAAACCACCATGAGGTGAGTCTTCAGCAGAACCGCATGAAGTGGTGCTGACCCCACCGCCCTCTACCCCGCCAATTTCCGTTGACCTAAAAGCGTGTCGCTCAAGGCGCACTGGTGGTGGCACAACAGAATGAGTCCACACCGCCTCCCCGAAGGTTCGCCGGTAGGAGCGTTCTACTGGGGGTCCAGTGGAGTGTCGATATTGGGGAGCGTTGTAAGGATGTTGAGTGACAGCTGCGGGGTAGTGGGAAGAATGCTGCTGCAGGTACCGCGGTGGGATAGAAGAATAAGATTGTTGGCGTTGGGGATTCTGCTGTTGATGAGAATGTGAATGGGGTGGAACGGGAGGGTGTTGATAGTAATTTTGGGGTGATTGGTGGCTGCGAAGAAGGTACGTATGAGAGCTGGGCGTGGGTTGGTAGTGCGACCACACACGCTCCTCCTCGCTCACTGAACGGTTGCTGGATTAACGAAATGGGTAAAAGCCCTATTAATAACGTTACAGTTAGCGCAGATTCAGTACGAACTGCATACTTTTAATCGAACTTCTTTCGTAAGTAGCACTTAAAGGTAACATTATTTTACGACATCCCTTAACACCTACCAAGCCTACAAAATCGCCTCAGACAACCATTTTACCAGTTCAATGGGATTAATTCATTCTCCAGTGACAGAAATTAAGTACAATGAAAGGTCTCACTCTTTCAATGCCTCTCGCAGTCGTGTTCTACTGGCTACGCCTGCATAGCTGCTTAGACTGCGATCCACAGTCGCCACATTAGAGGCTGAAATGGAGGAGGTAGAGGCAGTAGTTGTGGCAGGAGTGGAAGGTGAGCCGATTTTGGGCATCAATAGGGGATTGAGACTAGGTTCAGTTGTGGTTAGAGGGGAGGAGGATGACTCCCTTCCACGAGGAACAAATCCCGATGGGGTCGATGTTTTGGGATCCCTGACTCCGTGAGTCACCGCGGAAGAGGATGACAAATTACTGAAACAATTTTTGCACATCCACGAGGACTACAGGACAGAGAGAGCATCGATGTTAATTTACTTTACCCATAACATCACAAAATACTAAGTTAGTGCAAGCTTATTGTTTTTTTAAACTGACATCATGACATTCATATGTCTATTTCACAATTAGAGGCTACTTCCTCCTACCTGAGCGCCGAACCATCCACCACACCTAACACAGGTTTTGCGATCGCACTGAACACAATTGTGACCGGCGTTTCCTGTGAACTTGGTGAGGTGGCAGATCTCACAGACGTCCCCATAGTTGCCACTACAACCTCCAGTTCTGGTGAAGAAATTGGAAACAGCGCCGAAGAGATCTCCGGAAGTGCGATTGTGATGGACGGAGGGCAAGGGTCTCTCAGTCCCAAGACCTCGCCGCGTGACTCCCCCAAAAAATTCGTCCTTGGCTCGGGCGATAGGGCCACCGATGCTATTGGCCAGTTGAGCATTGGAAGCGGAAGCCGTGTTAGTGGTGGAGGTGGAGGAAGAGGAGGGAGAAGCATCGGTTAGAATTGGAAGGCGTTGGAATACTTTAGAGCCCCGATGGACGACTTGACAAACAGGTGGGGTGAGGGTGGTTTGAGACCTAGAATAAAAATCGTGCTACGGTACTTACACTACGTAACCAAGTAGCTCTCTTACCTGGACAAGAAAATGTCATGATTATTCAACTTCGGTAGCAATGACACACTTTCCAAGTGACCCTCTCCTCGTTTCACGCATGTTGCGTGTTAATCGACGTTTTACAGGACACATTTCCGAGTTAAAGTCGGGGAAGTTACCAGCATAGTGGCGTATAAACTTACGATAGTCTTAGAGACATTGAACGGACTAGGTGAATGTCCTTTAATTTCTAAAGGCCCATTCTTAAGAAAGCCCACGTTTTGAGTATTACAACTTCGTTCTATTCGGTAGGCAGCTCTAGTTATCATCAAGTCACTTCATAATGAGCGCATTTTTGCCATATTCACCGTACAATAAATCTACACTGTCTTCCTTCCAATGTCTACGGTGCTACGCTCACCGGAATTTGAAATGTCGGTTGTGTTTTGGCACCGTGCGGCCAAATACAGCTAATTTTCTCTTCCTTCATGCTTACCTTCAACTAAACCGTCCGGACAAATTGGGTGATTAACTAGTAGCTAACTTTTGCGCTTTGAAGATGCAAATACAAAAAAATTTTCATCATGGTGGAAGATTGAAAGGGTTCCAAAGCCATCACTGACAAATGAGTAAGTCTTGCGGCGGGACATTAGTAAAGTTAACTTGTTTTAGGTATGTTTTTTTAACCAGAATTGCCTGCTGTATTAAACGATTGGTTGACGTGTCAATCACAAAAGAAGTCTCCACCACAAATTGAGTTCTCATGAAATTGGACGTCCAGGAAATGGAAGGGCTCATTCCACGTCTACGTGAAGCATGACTTTTCGCTTACACTAAGCAGAAGCACTGGTGAGAAGGAGTGAGGAATTCATGGTGCAATAATGCTTTCCTTTCCTTGCAAATTAGCTTTGAATCGGGCAAATCTGTAGTGAACTGTGCGTGTTGACTACCCTTCAACACAGACAAACTCATTAAAAGGTATGACTTTTTACACATCTTCAAAAGATTACAAAACCTATGGTTAGTGCAGAGTCCCGTTGATCCAATTCTACACAACATGGCCACCTTCTGATGACAAGGTTGACAAAATTGCGGAGTAGGCATATGTAAAGATTAAGCAATAAATGCTCTTCAGATAGACCCATATTTGAGTGCTCTATGAGTCCTTTATCGCCCTTCGGATGTGAACATTAAACACACGCTAGCATGCCAGCATTCATATCTATGCCGACACACACGGTCAG